TCACCTCCCTCCCCTCCAGTACCCCAGATCCCCACTCACCCCTCCCCCTTGCCCTCCCAGATTACGTTTGGCTTCTGGCACTGTCCTGAAGGCAACCTTCCTGCCCAGCCCCCACCACCATTGCCACTCTCTGGGCTGGGTTTAGCCGGGATGGATTTATTAAAAATATATTATCGTTACAGGAAGCTATCAGCTGAACCAGAGTTGTTCATTAATAAAGAGGACTCAACTGCTTACTTGAAGTTGGCAAAGCCATTAATATCCAGCTGTTCATCTTCAGTTTATAATAGTGAATGCCATTCACTACTTTTCTTTTGTTTTAAAGTGATGCCATTTGTATGACATCTGTGAATACCCAAGAAAGCCTTCATCTTTCAGAAATTATAGTCACAGATATACCAGTAATCTAGCGATGAGTATACAGCATACAGCAAAGAGTGTTCTTCATAGTCTCATGAAGGATGTCTGGGAATTTGTAACTAAAAAGATATCTGAAAAAAATCTTTGTTTCTGTTAAACACTATGAAGACCTTTTTTTTGTACTGTGACAAACAGATAATGTTACCTAGAGTGCTTCTTCTGTCTTAACATGGGCATCTAAAGGGAAAAGGACAGATTAGATAATCTAGGAGATCTTTTTGCATTTCCAATGTATTTGAAACTATCTGAGCTATTGCTTTAGGAAAAATGTGGTGATGAAGCACATGTAGGCTATTGAAACTTAGCATGCTGAAGCACTTAACAAGCCAGGAGCCTTAAATTTGATTTTGATAGGTGCTGACCATCCTCAAAGCCAGATGAAGTCACTGGCCTAAGATGATGATTGCAACCTCTGCAAATCTAGCCACATATAATACTTTTTAAAATAACTAATTATTTAGTGCACACATATTTTTCTGTAAATTCAGTCTCAAGAGTCAGCATTTCATATGCTAGTAACATTAGTAAATGACGAAGACAATGTTTTCTGGCAGTTAAAATAAGAGTTTGGAAATCAGGTAAGCCATCTTCCTAGTTTTTGTGTTACTTTGGTCAAGCTACTTTACTTTCTGTAAAGTGGAGCTAATGGGTTTTACCTCATTGCCTGGTCCACTGAGGCTTGATCACTTCATGTTAGTGAAATGACCTAGATTTTCTTGCCTGGAAGTCAGTTGGACATGACAAAGCTCTGTTGTCTTTAACAGTGATAGTGAAACACAAGATCAGTCACCAGAGGCAGAGTTAAATCTAGATCTAAAATGAATAATGTACTTTGGAATAAGGTACAGTTCAACTGTAGATGTATTAGTGCTGCTGAGACTGCATGGGAGGCTGAGAACTTCATTTTAGATCTCCTTATATCTCTGCCTATCCCGCCTTGCCTCTTTTTCTCATTTCAGTCTCTCTGAGCTTAGCAGTTGATGAAGTTGGCACTAATTTATTTTTCTCACTTCATTTAAAATGCTAGACAGCACTACTGAATGCTCTTCACTTCATTCTCTTTTCTTCTCTGTTTGTGAATGTCACACTGTGTTGTACAAACACAGCAGGGATGAAAGCTAACACAAATGCATATTTGTGTCTACAGCACATAAATGTGTATTTATAGATCCACAAACCAGGGCAAGCCATTCATAGGCAGACCTGTGTTAAACAACCATTTGTCAGCGGAGTATCTAGAAACTAGTATTTTCAAATGAATAGACCTGGTCAGAAAATGCAAAGCTTTGGAAAAATACATTTCTGGGGGACAAAATTTCAGTTTTCACTCCATTTCCAGTTAGCTGCATAATTTGCCATGTAGTCAGGATACTAAGAGAATTAATTATAGGCAAGGAGGTTCAAGGATGTAAGCTGGAATGGTGTTAAGAACACCTATGCTTATATGGCACTGTATGCAACATGCCAGTCCCCAGTTTTTAATGGTTCTCCTCTTGTGGTGATGGCTATCACCTCAGTTCTTAGCAGAGAGACATCCCCTAGCACCTGCCATCCTCCTTCCTAGAGCAGTGATTTGTGTAGATGTAAGCAATAACCAACATAACACATCCAAGATGAGGTTCATCAGTAGGGGATGGCTTACACTACCACCACCTAAGTATTCCTGTCTATGTTATGGACATATCATTTTTATATTTTTTTAATTTTTTATTATTACTTTATGGTGGTAATGCTGTGTTGTCCACAGGCCACAGCTTGGTTGGGACCCTTGTATTATCTGTTCCAGAGACAGAGACGTATGATCATCCCTGCTTATGCCTTCAAACAAAAACAGCTTCTTCCTTTTTTTTTCCCCCCAGGGCTGTCACTCTGACATCTTCCATGGATTTTTTTTTTTTTAAATTTTAAGAATCTGAAGAATTTAAGTATACATAAATCAGTTAACTGCATCAAAGGATCTTCTCCACACTAGATACATGAAAATTAATACCATGAAATATCATGCAGCTGATATCTTAAGCCATAGAACAGAGTAGTTCTCTTTGATTCCACTAGACACTCTATTCCTGCCTTTAAACAAAGTGCTATCAAATGGGAGAAATGTAAAGTATAACAAATGGTATTGCAAATCGTCCAGTAACCTTTAGTAGCTAAGCACTGCAACATATGTCAGGACTTATTCATAGGCGAGATGTCTACCACTAGAAGTACTGAATGGGAGGAAGAAGAAATGTCTTTACCAACACAATTGTATAAAACAGTTTCTTCTTTCTGTATCCACAAGGGCAGTTAAATGACTTTTAATAGAATATTATATTTTGACTTTTCCATTTTAGTAACTTTTATCTTCAGTGCGCCTCCTAACAGATAGATGTAAGCATCCAAAGCACATCTGTTTTCCTGGCAGCATCTCATCTCTCACTTTATAATGTGGGTAGATGTTCAAGTGTTGCACATTTTCCTAAAATAATGGAAGTCTTAGTATTGGTTTGGTTTTGTTCTGTCTTTGTATGCTTTATTTATTACACCATTATGGCAATAGTTCTAAAGTTTTTATTTAACCATCATTCACCAATCTCCCTTTGACAACAACTTTCTTTTTATTATGATTTCATGCTTTTGTTCAGGCAACGGTTGAGAACATTTAACAGTGCCTGGATAAAGTTGTTTTTTTTTAACACTGATGATTTCATGTAGTCTACGTTTCCATTATTCTGATAACCTAGGGTCAAATTCTGATCTCAGGTACACTGGAATAAATATGGAATAACATCAGGGTAACGGGATCAGGATTTAATAATGGGAATAATACTTCCTATTATTAAAAGTTAGATAGCAGTCTTCATTGATTAAATACATATGTAATTAAAACAAGAGATACCTTATTGTTTGGCACATTTTTTACAACATGTTTGTTTTGCATTTATAAAGTAGATCTCATCTGCCTTTGCATAACTTCTTGCTAATTTTCTTAAGAGGCCTTTCTTTATTTCAGGTTTAGATAGAGAATGTAACCTGAGACTCAAAAAAGTCTGCAGGCATTTCCCAGGAGGAAGAATTGACTATACCAGCTTTTTTAAAGCATAAAATAAAGGCAGTGGGTAGTTTTCTTTTATAATGTCTAAATTCAGGTTTCAGAAGTTAGGAAGATATCTTCCAACTTACTATTCCAAAAACCTGAAGAACCTTCTATATCTCCATTTTTGCTTGTTTTCAAAATATTTCCTCTAGTGTTTGCTTTGGTAATAATCCTATTTTCTTCTTTATATGGTGAAACCCATTCATACATATTTTTTTTTCAGTCATCCGTTTACATGACAGCGATTCAGCTTTATTCAGCTGCCTCCTTGCCCACGTGAATAAGGTGGTAGATGGGTGAGTTTGCACTTCTGTTGCTACTTTTTATCTGGACATTATTCCTAGCAATGTTGCCTTGTCAGGGTAGGAGCACGTATTTTTACATTTGTTCTTGGTAAAAGGAAAACAAGAGTCATTTGATTTTTGTTTTAAAATGAATGTTGGCACTCTGTGAAAAGTAATCATGAAAAAATGTTTATAAGTAGAGAGGGTCCACAATTTCAATTTAAATATTTATTATTGCTTATTTTTATTATGGTAGCACCAATTGAGATAGATTGATTGTGCATGGACTTGTTCCAAACAATCAACAGTCTACTTTGAGAAGTCGGAGGAGAGAAAACAGAGGCACAGAGGTGAAGTAGCTTGCCCATACCATACCAGTGTCAGATCCAGGAATAGTTTGACAAGTGGCAACTCTCAGGCCGGGTCTTATGTCAGCCTGCCCACCAGTCTCTATGGGGTAATTCACCCAATCCCACCTGCCATGACTTGGTTGTTCTCATATACGGATGGTACACACGGGGGACTCCCCATTACTGCCCCGATACCAGGATGTGCTATCTGTGGCTCTGACCTCCCCTACACCACAGCCCATGCCTCGCAGATGGCATCCAGGTTAATATTACTCCCAGTCTGGGGCTGGAGCAAACTGAATCCAAAGTTTGGCTCCACACACCCATATTCACACCACCTCTCCTTTCACAGGAGGCCTCTTCCACTCTGCCCCTCTCTCGCTGGGGCCTCTGGCATATTGCCCATTATGGGGCCACACTCCACTGCCCTGCTTCTCCTTGAGCAGCCCCTCTTGGGCCATCAGGGTTTGCTACTCTCATAATGGCCTTGCCACGCAGAACCTTCGGTTTCTGCGAGTTCCCCTACTGTACGTGGGTCGGCCTTATGCCAAACCCTGGGCTAATTCTGCCCCAAGCCTCCCACCAGGCACAACTTCTCATGGGGCTGGGCCCCACGCTGTCCTTCAAGTTTACTCTCGTTCAGCCCTAGTCAGTGCACCCCTTGGGCTGTCCTTCAGGCCTACTCCAACTTCAGCCCTACTCAGCCCCCTCACACGCACAACCCTTCAGGCCTACTTGTACTTCAGCCCTACTCTGTGTGGGACTTCACAATGCTCTCCATCCTACCTCCTCAGGGGTCTCTGGGATCTGCATCTCTGCTGGGCTCAGGAACCTACTTATGGGCATACCTGGCCCCCACTACTTCCCCAGCTGCCTCCAAAACCCACCCAAAAATGGGGGCTGGGGCCAAGGCACCCCTCCTTGCCTTTTACCAGGCAGGTAACTGGCCTGGCATTTCCTGTGGACTCCCACACCACCAGGAGCCCCAGCAGGACATCCTTCCCTGGCAGGGTCCAATTTTATGTCATGCCCAGGACCAGGAGCCTCTAAACCATCTCCATAAGCTCCTGCCCTTATCTCTTGCTGCAGCTCAGATAGGCAATGATTCTGCCTCCCCTGGCTTCAGCAAACTGCAACCTTTATATGCCTTGTTGAGAATGGCTGCCTTCATCAGGCACCTGGGAGCTGCCTGCCTCTGCCCTTCAAGTGGCAGGCACCCAAAGGTGCCCCGCCACAAATAGAAACAGAAATGTTTCCGGAATTATAGTTCTACTCTTGGCTCTACTCACCCACCCATCCCTCTCTCTTGATTTATAACTAACTTATCTCCTTTTTCAGACCATGAACTCTTTGGAGACCCATTCCAAAGTGTGTGAATGTCACCAGGTTATTTTTATTTTTTCAACCACTTATTTAATGGCATTGCATGAAAAGACAGTAAAATCATCTAATATTGCTTCTGCTTTAAGTTACTTCATCTAAGTACAGGGTAACTTTAAAATGAAAAAAAAAGAATAGATAGTTATAGTACATTTCCCAGTATTGGACATTTTGGATGAAAAACCATTTGTATTTAAAAGTGGGTAAATGCCTGTGATTCACAAACATTTCCTAGTCCTACAACTTATCATGAATAATAAAAGCATACGAACCTTATCAAGACAAGGGGGGTGTTTTTATTCCCGAAAACATATATTTTGGGGTAGATAAGATGTGGGGTTGCTGTTGATTTTTTAATATTTATTCAGATTTATCTATCAGGATAAAATAATTTAGCAAATAGCTTGAGGAATGGCAGTTGGAAGATTTGAGTTCAGTTTCTGGCTCTGCTACTGACTCGATGACCTCAGTCAAATTACTCTACCTTTAAGGTCACTGTCACTGCCTTTAAAAGAGTGTTCATAATAGTGATATAATTCACTGGAATAGGGGTATGGGAAGAGTGTTATTAATCCAGTGATGATTGCAAAGTCTTTCAGAATCACTACAAATGAGAATAAGGAATAAGTGTTATCTTACTAAGGATAGAGGACATGGTGCAAACCTCAGTTTATGAGTCAAAAAACATTATAACCACATAAGGTAATTCTCGACAGCCTTGGAAAGAATTATTCAAAAGAAGACCAAGAAGCACCTCCCATCCAATGAAGGCACAGGAGACCTCTGCTTTCTGTCCCTAGTTTTGGGAAGCAGTACACTTCTATAACTCTTTTTCTTGGTGCATGTTTACACAAGATACTTTACTGCACAGTAGAGCAAATTACTGTGCCTGTGTCTAAATGTTCAGACCCTTACTGTTCAGTAATTTGCTCTACTTGGCAGTTAATTTGCTACCTGCAAATACAAGTAGCAAATCAACTGCCAAGAAATTACTGTGCAGCAAAGCACGCGTAGATGGCCAACAAAGAGCAAATTTGGTCCCAGTCAACCAGGCAGCAGGTGGCAGGAGATTGCTTCTTGCCCCCAGGATCTGCCTGCTGCTGGGCCAGGGACAATGTCCCCTTGCCCCAGAAGCAGGGAGCTTCTAGCCCCTGCTCTATTATCACGGTCTGAATGGGGAGAGTTCCCCACCCAGCCTGGACCTGGCTGGGACCTGCCCCAGACTGGGACAGATCCCAGCCAGCCCCAAGCTGCATGGGGAAGTCTGCACATGCAAACTGGGTCTGCCTGGGGACTGTCCTGTTTCAGGCAGTCCCCAGCCAGCTCATGCACATGCAGAATTCCCCATGCAGCTTGGGGCTAGCTGGGAACTGTCCCAGTCTGGGGCATGTCCCAGCCGTGCAGCTTTTTCCCATCCCTATGCCCTGATTGGGAGATCAAAGCAGAGCTTGGAACGAGCTGTGGGAATCCCCTCCCAGCCCAGGGGTTCACTGCTAGCTGTCCCACTGGCAGATCAGGGCAGGAGGCTGGGATCTGCTTCTCCCCTGCAGCTCTTTCCAAGGTCCCTGCTGCTGATCAGGGAGCTGGGGCCAGGTGATCCCTGCTGCCAGGGCAGGGGGACATTATTCTTCCCTGTGTTCTGCCACTGGAGCCTGACCCAGCAGCAGGCAGCTGCCAGGGTAGGGAGCAATCTCCGAGCCCCTGCCAGAAGACAGTTGTCTCCTGACCTTTTGCTGCCTGCTGGCCCCTGGGCTAGCACCCAGGGGGCTGGTGCAGGGACGAAGTGGATGGGAGCAGTAAATTTGCTCCCAAATGGGCACATGTATAGAAGAAGCCTGCCTGGGATGGGTTTACTCTAGAGTAAATTACTCTGAAATAAACCCATCTGGCAGCATTTGCACATGCAGACATGCCCTGGGGCTTGTACAATGTGATTCCTCATCTTTCCTGTTTGAACCTACTTACTGCAGTTCCCTTCCCTTTGCAAACTGTTATAACTTGAAGCACAGACTCAGTGAGAGATCAAAGGTTTAATCTTTGTTTTCTCCACAGCGTAGATGCTGTAGAAACTCTTCGAGAGTCAGTATTGCAGTATAACCTCTGTCAGTGCCTGTTCTTCAAGAATTCCAAGGCTTCTTGAAAGCAGAAGCTTTACCAGTACATGATGTTCCAGTATAAAAAGGCTTTTGCAGATTCAATCAACACAATTAGAAGGACTGAAAAAGACCAGTGCCTGTGACTGCAGCAAAATGCTCCAGGGACTTGACAGTTCACCTCCTATCATAAAAATGGGGTTTGTTCTATTCCTCACTGAATTTAAGGGAAGGTACCTGTATTATTGAAAGACCAGGAATTATAGTTCTCACTGGGCTGTGATGCGGAGGGTTGGAAGTTACCCAGGAGGGACAAACAGTGTTTGTTTCCATATTTCCCTTCTACACATGATCATAAATAAATAAATATAAATGTAAACCCTCCAGAAGTAGTATAGAATAAGAAAGCTCTGTGGAGGTTGCTAGGCAGCAAAGGTCAAAGAAATAGAGAGCAGACAGGGTTTTGAAAATAAAATTAGAGACTTATAGGTTATCTGGAATCTCCACTTATTTTACAAATAAATAAATAAATAAATAAATGATGCCATCTCTTTTTTAACAAATAAAAAAAGGTTGGATTTTTTTTCTTTAATAGATTAGTATTGTTTTTAACTCATTTGAAATGAAAGACCTATTTTTGCATCTACTTCCTTTGCAGACAATGGGGTTATATATGTGATTATTATTTGCCATGGTATTCATTTACTGATCTACATAAAGATGTCTGGCTCTTTATGTGAAGACTTGTGTCTATATCTAAGGGCAGAAATTTATTTTATTTTTTAAAACCATTTACTGTCAAATGACCATTTCTTTTTTTAATCAATAGCCATATGCATGTAAGGTGCCATAAATAAGAATGACCCAGTGCTATGAGGTACAGATCACTCCTTTAGTTGTGCATTTCAGAGGGAATTGAAAGGTCAGATTTTATATATATATATATAAAATCTCTATATATAATCTATATAATTAGAGCTCAGTCACTGCCAAAATGCAACATTAACATATGGATCCTTCCTAGCAGTAATACCCATATCAAAATGCAAGTGTGCTCAATTACAGCAGCCAAGACATTCAGAGGCAAGGTTTAAAGTTCACTCAGTGGGGTAGTTGCTTTCCTTGGCATCCATATTTATATCTTCCTGGCTGCTGTAAGAGGGTCCAGCTAGCTCTATGGCACTCCCTC